GTGTCATTCCATGATATTTATCACTGTATGTTGACCATATCATAATATAGCTTAGCCAAACAAAGAATAGAGATCGTTTAACGATATCACTAACTTAAGGCGCAGGTTGAGCAAAATGTCGCGCTAGTCGTTATTTGTGCGGTTTTTAGGAGCTATCTACTTTTTATTTAAAAGATATATCAACAAATAAAAAACACATTATATTTCTACATAATCTTGATTCCATAAAAGCTATATCCAATTTTTTTTAAAGGAATAAATATTCATATAATCTCCTTACTAACGAAACCACATAAATGTGAAATTATTATTGATAACATGCATCTCCTCGTAAAGTAAGTATTATTTTATTTTGCGATTTACACCAGTGGATAGGCAATTTATTAATGAACATTTCTATAGTAATTTTTTTTCAAAAGACCAAAATTTGATTTTATTAAGAAATTAATTTAAAATCTGGGCATATTCACTGCTCACGGGCTTGCTTGCTGAAGTCAGTGAGCCCTGAGCTCTTCGACGTGAAGCCCGTGTCGTTAGAGCGTCGACCAGCGCATACGCGCATACGTCATATCAGTCGATAATATTATTACTTATTAGGTTATTTATAGGTAGTATTATTTGTTTGTTTTGGGTATAATTTTTCGTATTAGTTATACATATATTTGTTGTGTTTTTTACTGCGTGATGAAGCTTTTTTCTTTGAAGTAAATGCAAATAAAAAAATGAAGCACCATTAGCATATAAGGTTCGAATCCATAATTAAAATTTCGACAAATATTATAATTTACACTATAACAGGTTAATTCAATATTATCACCCAACCACAATAACTTATTAGGTATTGTACTGCCTCGTTGGTCTAGTGGTTGTAGTAGTGCGACTGCTGATCATGAGGTCCTGGGTTCGAATCCTCGGTCGGGCCAAAAAGTCAGTTATGAGTTTTTCATTTATGTTCTAAGTTATAATTAGTATTACTAAGTTATAGTTTTTTGCTAAAATATAGTATATTATTTATTGCTTGTTTTTTCTTCTTTTTCAAAAAATAATTGAGTACATAAGGTATTCTATACTTATAATTCGGTAAAAAGTATCTAAGTAGGTACTGATATACCTACTTTTACTATTAACTAAAAATTTTTAAAACTAAATTTAACTAAAAAGACTAAACTGACCATTTATTTTTTAACTCAAAACAGGACATGGGTTTATTTATACTCTAAAAACTATAACTTTATACAATTATTTAGTGTTCACTATAAAATTATATTCGGTATAGACGGTAATTATTAAATGCAACATATTTTTTTTAATTATTAATTACATTTGTCAGAGGATTAATTTTGCTTTAATAAAGTTGGTGATGATTTTAAATAAGAATAAAATTCTGCTCAAGTTTTTTTATTATTATCTTTGTTAACAACATCGCCTTAAGAACTCTGGAACTTTAAGTGTTTCTTTCAGACGTGCACAATTTATTCAAAATAAAAAAATACCCTTTCATAGACATTAAATATATTCGATTGAAAAAAATTATGTTGAAGATTGTTGACTTTGAATACTTCCATCCAACGAGTTACGGGACAATTTTGTGTCCCGGAGCTTTGTTTGGGGATAATGGGACAGGTGACCGAGAAAAGGGACAGTCCCGTTCAAAACGGGACGTATGGTCACTTTAGCTATAACCCGGCGACGGCTCCGTGGCGCAGTGGCTTAGCAATCAGTTGTTGCGCTGGGGCCGCGGGTTCGAATCTCGCACGGAACAAGTATTTGTATGGCCTACAAATAATTGTTCCGGGTCTGGATGTTTGTCCTTGTGAAATTTATGTTTGTAAACTGCCTCCACGACACAGGAGAAAATCCTAGTGTGGGGTTAACGTTTTTTTACAATTGAAATTGAAAGATTGAACCCTTATACTTCTTGTTGATTTTTGTATTACCTTTATTAAAGTTACACTTATGTATAAATAAATATAATTACGTATGTAGAAATAAAATTGATTTTCATCCTCATCAATCATTGGGGCGAGAATAATGTCTGCCAGCATAAGTAATAAGCAGGCTAAGTTACAAGGTGCTCAGTTCAAAAATTTGTAGGTAGGTATATTACTTTTCAATACGTGACACGTAAAAATTAACAATAATCAAAAACACATCTACGAAACATCCTATTTATTTATTTATTCTTTATTGCACCAAATATTTGTACAAAAGGCGAGCTATCTATTTATTTACCTATAGTGAATAGGTATCTTTTAAACTCACAATTTTCAATGCTTCATTTTTAATATATAATTAATTATAAAATTTCATGATTAGATAATATATGAAAATACATAATTCTAATATAATGCAACTAATATACCGAATAAAAAAATTAAAATACATTTCGTTCGCTGTACGCTGTGTGTATTTCCATAAATTAGTTTATTGATGTTGAAAAAATAATACGTTCTTATCTACAATAGGTGGCGTCAAGCAATATATTGAAGCGAGCGGCGCGCCGCCGGCGAAATGCTCAAGGTCGTTCGCATGGAGTAGCCCCTTAACACAATATTGCTATTTCATGACAATATCTTCATATCTTTAAATTCTCAGTTTATATCGTTAAATTCAAAGTTTTTCATCGCTAGCGGCGCTGATAGCGTGTTTTTAACGGAAACAGATTTTTATCAGAATCAACATCACTTATTGCCGAATAAAAAAATTAAAATACATTTATCGTTGTACGCTGTGTGTATTTCCATAAATTAGTTTACTGATGTTAAAAATGAAGCGAGCAGCGCGCCGCCGGCGAAATGCTCAAGGTCGTTCGCATGGAGTAGCCCCTTAATGTAATATAGCGCCCTCTACTTTATCTAAATAAACTAATGATAAGTAACTGATAAAATAAAGTTTTAGAATGCTACCGAATTCTTATTCGGTTTTATATATCGGATTAAAATATCTAGACTGGTGGTCATTATCGGGATTATTTACCACAATAACCACGTTTGGCAAAGTGGCTAACAACACTGTTGTACACAAAACTGAGATTAGGAGAGAAGCTCTTTAGTTAAATATATTGTTTGTCTGTCGGCATAGGTTTCATTTTACCTACTTCATATGTTATCGTTACGTTACGTTATCTGATGTAAATAATTGGAAATTAAGTGCACTGTAAGATTTTATCTCTATTTGATGGAATAGTTCGTGGTATCGTTAGGTTTCTAATTACTCGGTAGATATGGTCAACAATGTTACAAAAGCTTTGTTTCAGTTTTTATGAATTTTATTTAAACAAATACGAGAGCCGTGTAGCTCGCCGTGAGATTTGATCATGGCAAGGGAACAAAACGTGTACGAGTCTTTTGAGGACAAATGAATCTGTTATGGGAAATTTTACGTACTGTACTGTACTGTACTACATAGGCACCCAGTGAAGTGGTGAAGAAAAACTTCGTGGCCAAACCTAGATGTCGGAGTAGTAGTTGAAGGATTGCGGCATACTCTTTTCTGCTCACAAACACTATAGGTAATGGGGAGCCGTATGCACAGTACTGAGACGTATGTAAGCTGCTACTTTAGTTTTTATATCTTTAATGAGACTTATAAATCAGTTTGTTGGATTTTTGTATATTTGAGTTTTCATATTATCAGACAGATCAAGATTTTGTGACAGTAGTGGCCTCATAGCTCATATTAGATATAGAAATGAACAGGCTGTTGCGAAAATATACTTTAAATATCGAAGATTGCAGATTTAACTTAAACAAAGATATATTTTATTTTACTTGTCAAAGGCAAAGGTAAATTTCATAGTAGATAAGCATTATTATATATTTTTACATATATGTTAAATGCAATTTGAAGTGTCGATTTACCACTTTCTCGGCGGTGATAGAAAACCTGAATATCTGAGAAGTTCCCCAGCTGAGATGATCCAGCGTTGGCAATTTTTTTGGCCAAAAGCTCTGTGGCCTGTGCCCAGTAGTGACATGTATGTAGGTCGCTACTTTTTTTTAGTTTTAATGGGGCAATTATGCTCTTTTTATATCATTTATATTTTCGGAGATGTTACGTTTTTGTTTTCACACTACCGTTAATATTAACGGTAGCAAAGATTCGAAAGAATAGAACTCATCACTGTTATCATTACAACCCCTTAAGAAGTCCACTGAACTGAACATAGGTCTCCCCCATAACTGGTCAAATAGGCTGGATATTTGCTATAGTTGCCACGCTTGGCAGGCAGGTTGGCATCCGCAGCATTCATTATTTTTAACTGTTGTCAGGAACATGATGTTCCCCATTTCCTGTTTGTTTTCCTCTATCGCCTATTAGGACACACACGGAACGATATGAGGCGGCGGATTCTCTTTCGCCGCCACTACAAGACGAATATTTTTCTGCTTTCGATCATGTGTGTAGTTCTACCTACCTTCACTGCGAATAGAACTTCATTTGCAATAAAAGTAATCATAAGGATTTTAGCGTGTTTAATTTTAACTTTTATAATTGATGACGTTTCGGGCAATATACAGAACCCATGGAGAGGGGGCGGGGGTTTATTTGTTGTCTATCAGATCTTGATATAATGGTTGAGACGATAGTCAACATGTTGACACACTTTCAGACTTCTCGGAGCGTCGGTGCTTCACATCAGCAATACGTTGTTTTACGCAAATTTTTATGGAACTTTCTTCCAAAGGTGTGTTTTGTATAACCCGCTTAAATAGAAGCTAAAATGTAACGTGATTTATTACAATTTGTTTTATCATATGTGTAGTATTCATCATTATCAGAACTGCATTTATGAAATTTTGAAGTCTACTCGAAAGTAGAAAATAAAATCAGAATCTATTTTATGGTGCCAATCAATATTAAATGAAAACAATGATATGGATCAAATATCGCATATAAGACCATGAATTCATCATTACTTTGATAAAAATAAATTATGAATGAATGTAAAGAGTAAATAATAATAGTAAGTTTGGATTCCAAGACTATTTATCTTTGTTATGGATAGATACTTCGGAAGACAGGTCCAATATAAAAAAAAAATTGTAGATATTTCTAGACATATGATATTTATGCAATTCTGAAAAATTTATTTCTGCACGTGTCCCTCAATCATCTAGGTCCGATATTCTTTGGGAATTCAAAAAATTCTTTGAAAAACTGACATAGATACACAGACACCGACTTGACTCTAAAATTGATCGAACTTTACTAAATTTGGCGTGGAATACATTTAATGATGTTTCTAAAAAAGAAGACCACGCGAGCGAAGCCGCGGGTAAAAAGCTAGTTATGTAATAAATTAATAATATTATGCACAATTTTATAGTTATAAACTGTCTTAACCTGTTTTTATAGTTTCAAACCTATAAAGGAAAAATAATAATATCGCCAATATGATTTAACTAATCTCTATAATTTAATTTATTTATGCTTTGTATTATATTATTAGAAACAATACAAAACAATGTTAAATTAATTTTAGTTGATTAAACATATAACAAGTCATACGTAATTAATTTATAAGGTAATTTAGTACTAAACTCAATAACAGTCGATTTACACAAATACTGCCTGATAAAGAGTGCTGGGTGAAATTTCTTTTTTTTTTCTTGAAATTCCATTCCTTTCAAAAGTTCTTGAACATTTGGTATTTGCACAATTTAACCACTACCTAAACAAAAACTCCCTTCTTGACTCCTTTCAATCAGGGTTCAGACTTGGTCATAGTACTGTTACAGCTTTACTTAAAATCACTGATGATATTCGCTGGGGTATGGACCAACAACAGCTCACTAATCTTACGTTGCTGGATTTCAGTAACGCTTTTAACACCGTCGATTTTGACGTATTGTTGGGTCTGCTACGTTCTATTAACATATCTCCAGCGGCAATTGAATGGTTTCAAAGCTATTTGCGTGGCCGCCGGCAGCGTGTTATGGTAGAGGGTGCCACATCTACGTGGTGTGAACTAACTGCTGGTGTACCACAGGGTGGCGTGTTGTCTCCTCTCCTTTTTTCTGTATTTATTAATTCTATTACTTCACGAATTTCTTCTCTCTACCATTTGTATGCAGATGATCTCCAAATTTACTCCCATACATCACTCCAGAATCTTACCAATGCCATCAATGACACTAATACGAATCTTGCTGCAATACTTGATTGGAGCAGGTCGTTCGGGCTTAATTTAAATCCCAAAAAGACCCAAGCCATTATTGTTGGAAATAGCACTCTAATCTCGAGAATTTCTTGGGATAACTTTCCACCTATTGTTGTTGATGGTGTTGTGATACCTTTTAGTAAATCTGTAAAAGACCTAAGATTATATATTGATCAGAATCTTTCTTGGTCCATGCATATTAAGGAGTCCAGCAGAAAGATGTTTGCGGCAGCATCTCATTTAAGACGTTTGCGTAACTCGTTTCCCATTCCTACTAGAATTTTACTGGCACAGTCTTTGTTACTCCCTATCCTTGATTATGCTGATGCATGCTACTCCAATCTTACTGAGGATCAATTAAATAAACTTGAGCGTCTTCAGAATTTCACTATCAGGTTCATATTTGGCCTTCGCAAATATGATCACGTTTCAGAGTACCGTATTAAGCTCAAGTGGCTCCCTATCAGGCTTCGTCGGAATACTCATATTCTATCTCTACTGTACTGTGTACTATTTGATCCTAAAACACCGAGTTATCTTAAAGAAAAATTTGAGTTCATGGGCGCAAATAAAGATCATTCCAGAATAGCTGATAAACTTTTACTGCATATGCCTGCTCACAACTCAAAATTTTTTCATTCCTCCTTTTGTGTCAAAGCAATCAAATTATGGAACTCGCTTCCTTTAACAATTAAAAAAGCCCAAAGCATTGAGTCTTTCAAAAATGTGGTTAAAGATTATTATTTAAATATGTGTTCTACTTAATATATTTTATTGTCATATCTACTTTTCCTGATAAGGTTTATGTATATGATATATAGTTATAATGTATTACAGAAATATTTATAAAAGTGTATGTATTCTATGTATGTATATGTAGGTATATGTGTATATGTATGTGTGTATGTATATATTTGTCTATGTGTATAGGTATATATAATATTATTATATTATATAATAGATAATATTATTATATTATAGATAAACAAGCATATATTATTTTTAATATATGCTTGTTTATCTACTATTTATGCACACTTCTATATATTTAAATGAAAATTATCTCCTTCACCAAGGTTTGCCTGGAAGAGATCGCTGTTTAGCGATAAGGCCACCTAATTGTACATTCGTTGATAAATTTAAGTTTGCTATGTTGTGTAGTGTTTTATGTGCAATAAAGAGTATAAATAAAAAAAAATATATTAAATAATTGTCCAATATCCAGGGGTTTAACTATAGTATTGTAGTCTTTGGGGCTTACACCCGTATTCAAGAACGATACTATGCGTGCGCACAGTAGGCTTTAACGCACAGTAGACGAAATTTTGTTTCATAAACGTCACTTGAGTGTTAGACGACACTATGCGCTCATCAAAATGAACGCACAGATAAAGTAGCTCGCTAACTACTTTACGCTACGCATAGTGTGACAAATCAACGCAAATGTCAAACTGGTATGGGGGTATATAGCTTGTTTGTTGATTTGTGATACGCTGATTGGTTTTGTTTTAATAATTGCAATGGATTACAGCAGCGAAGATGATTTTGATAATTATAACCTGGAGAGAATAAACGTGCAAAGAACGATTAGCACAAGAAAAGTGATACGTGACTTTCAAAATCCTTTTGATTATTACAGTGGCAATGAATTTTAAAGTCACTTAGGTTTTCAAAATATATCGTAATAAATATACTTCTCCCTCTAATAAATGCAGATATTTTGAAAGTTACTAGTGGCCTTAAGATTTTATTCATATGAGAGTTTCCAGATTTGTAATAACAATTCAGTTAATCTACCTATCAACAGTTTCAAATCCACATTACTTTAATAATACTTATGCATAAGTACCCTATAATAACGGTACCAGTAACGTCTTTTACCTGAAAGAAAACCACACGTGTTATTATTTTTTATCTGTCATTCAACTCGAGTTAAGTCGCATCACAACGTTAACCAATCACGGCGCCCCATTCAGTGCTATGTGTCCGCACAACAAAGAGTCCACTAAGTATTGTTCATGAAATTAACGGCCTGCCATGACGAACGCAGTGAGAAATACCTTACTTAGCATAGTGTTGCTACTATACTTATGTATGTATCGTTTGTGAATACGGGCCTTAGTCTCCAGACTTCTTGATAAAGAATCTCCACGCCCTGGGTGGTATTTCTACAATGAACATTTAAGATTTCCCAAGCATATTCCACTAAATAATATCTTGTCCAATTACGTTTCTTCAAATCCGGCATCGATTTAAGACCATAAATAGGAATTTGATTTCTTTTTAGTTATAAAATATAGTACTATGTTCAATCGACCTTCACCTTATCTTCAATTTCCAAGCCAAATACAATAATTTAAAATTAAAAAAATTGTACAGGCGACTTAAATATAAGTTATTAAGAATAACTAAAAAACTATTTGTCTGACCTTGATCAAATTAATATGGGACTACATAAGAAGTACCAGCTTTCAAATAAAAGAATAATCATCGAAATTGGTTCACCCAGTAAAAAGTTATGAGGTAACACATAAAAAAACATACAGTCGAATTGAGTACCGTCTCATTTTTGTAAGTCGGCAGAAAATGTACAATAATATTTTAAACATACCATACACAACTACCGAACTAATATTGGCATGAGAACTGCTAATATAATTTGTCAGGCGCTTCAACACATGTACATACCATAATATAATATAGACTATAGGTAACAACTTCCTATTTGTAATAAGATACCCGTGTAAATATTATATGACATACACCGAGCGTGCTGGTATTCCCCTATGACAAGATATTTCACGTGAGAGGTACTCACTCGCTATCGACTTGTGTTTTATTAAAGATTCATTACAATTTAACACATAATAATTGAACGGTAAGGTTAGTGAAGCTTAACTGAATAATTTAAAAACAACATAAAACTAACTAAGCAATTTTGTGGAAAAACTCTTTCGATATGGTCAAAAATTTTTTTAAAAATTTCAAAACACCTGACACTTAGTCCAGACTAATGTATTTTTGGTAACGTATACTTTTTTATAGAATGATGGTGACAAACGAGCACACAGTAAGTGGATGTTAAGGCCCATTTTCATCTACATTTATCCCCGATTAAGAATCACAATGCAGATGCGTTATCACTCCTGAGGACTGAGATGAAATGCCTCGTGAACAGTAAAAATGGTCTCCGGTTCTCTGTATTCACTTTACGAAACATAAGGTGTTTTTTGCGCTGGTATTCTGCGAATGCGTGGGCCTAACTCGATTTAGCCGACCCATCCGTGCTACAACCATAATTTAGCTGCAGCGTGGCTCTACCACGTTAAAATTACCTTCATATTTTAACAATATAGTTGAAATTATAATAATTGTAAAGGTTGCACCTAAAAACGAGTCTTCGGTTGGGTTATGGATGCCCTATCGGTAGCCTTAGGAATTCCCTGTCAGCCTTCGGCATATTTCGGTGTCTTTCACAGCATTTCAGCATTCAAAAGCAAGTACGGTTGCTTTGAATATTAATTTCCAAATATTATTAACCCAAAATCTCTTTTATTGAATATATTTTTCTTCCCCTTAAAACACTGCTATGAGCACTATTGTTTAAATGTATAAACTATAAATATATAATATATAAATTAAATTAAATTTTTGTCTGTTATATTGAAATATGGAGTCGAGGGGTCAGTTACTATGCCAGTCTTCTGGTTTTTCTCAGGACAGAGGTATTTTCCGAACCAGTTGTAAACTAAACAAACTATTGGTAGATGCAATTGTGCATGCCTTAAGCGCATTAAAAAAATTACGTTAAACATGATTATAAGTAAATTTTTAAAATAGTTTAATTATTATATAATTAATAATTATTACAATACTCTAAAT